ACATCGCCTGGAAAGGAAGAGGTGTAAGCTTACCCAAGTGAGTCCTGAGTGGCGGAACGGCGTTGACTCGGCAGCTACTCGCCAATCCAGTGTGCATTCGGGGGTAGGCTGGCTGATAGACCCATCTCCTGAAGATGGCAAAGGTTGGAAGGCTTTCGGAGTTCGACGTCTCACATCCAGAGCGGTGGGAGTCCTACGTAGCCAGGGTGGAGAACTACTTCAAGGCAAACCAAGTGAGGGAAGAGAGCTTGAAGGCTGCCACCCTGCTTTGTGTTTGCGGTCAAGACGCCTTCGAAATCGCAGAAAACCTTGCAGCACCTGTTCCAGTAGAGTCTGTTAGCTACGCAGATCTAAAGAAGCTACTGAAGGAGCACTTCCAGCCTAAGATGTCCGTCATCGCATGGCGCCACACCTTCGAGCAGAGGGATCAACGATCCGGAGAGTCGGCCAAAGAATACATCGCCGCATTGAGGAAGGCCGCCAAGCACTGCGAGTTCAAGGACCTCGAAGAACAACTGAGGGACCGATTCGTGTGCGGCTTAAGGCATCGAGATCTACAACAGAGGCTTTTCGCCAAAGAAGAACTGTCCTTCCAAGATGCCTTAAGAGAGGTCACCGCAGAAGAAGCAGCAGGCGGCGCCGTCAAAAACATGCGGCCGATCAGAAACAGTCCAGAAGTTGCATCCGTGTACCAGGAAGACATCCAAGGAAACTCTGAGGAGGATCCGGACGAGGAAGTCGACCGTCTCCACCCCATGAAGGAAGGAAAGAAGAAGGGAAGCTCTTCAGCTCCACTCAAGTGCATCGGCTGTGGAGGTCGCCACAGGAGAACCGACTGCAAGTTCCGCTCCGCTACCTGCCGGGCATGCGGCAAACAAGGACACATTGCAGCTGTGGGTCTGGGCCGACGAAAGGTACAACCTCAGGAAGAACTGCGCCTGAAAGGTACCAGGGTCCCCAGCCAGAATAGGGTAGGGTTTTGCACTTCGCGAAGAAGCATCCTCAGGACAGGCACACACAAGCCTATTAAGAAAAAGCTGTCACTCAAGGTGAAGCTACAAGGGGTTCCATTAACTATGGAACTAGACACAGGGTCTGCCCTTTCAATCATCTCCTTGCATACATTTAGGAAGATTTGTTCCGGTAGTGGAACTCAGGCCAAGTTAAGGCCTTCTGACATTGTGTTAACAGATTTTCAAAATTCAAGAGTGTGTGTTAAGGGGGAGGCCACCCTTAACGTGCAATACAAGAGTTTTGAAGGTCCACTAGACTTATTAGTAGTAGGGGGTGAACGAACGAGTCTCATAGGACTCGATTGGTTTGAGGCCCTGGGGATACACGTCACAGGACTCAACAGCTTACAAACACTCGACCTACAGGAAGTCTGCAAAGAATTTGCAGATGTTTTCAGCCCCCAGCTGGGCACATTCAAAGGACCCCCTGTGTCCTTAAAGCTAGATCCCACTGTCACTCCCATTAGAATTAAAGCAAGAAGGGTCCCTTTTGCTTTAAAGAGTAAAATTGACACTGAGTTAGACAAACTGATCCAACAGGGAATTCTAGAACCTGTTGATTCCAGTCCTTGGGAGACCCCCATTGTCACGCCTCTAAAGGCAAATGGGGACATTCGCATTTGTGCTGATTACAAATGCACTCTTAATAAGGCATTGCAGCAACATGCCTATCCTGTTCCTGTGGTCAGTCATATCCTGGCCTCCCTCAAGGGGGGGCGTGTTTTTGCAAAGCTTGACCTAGCTCAAGCATATCAACAGCTGCCTGTTGATGATGATGCTGCTATAGCTCAGACTATTGTGACCCACAGAGGGGCCTTCAAGGTAAAAAGGCTACAGTTTGGAGTGAATGTCGCTCCTGGGATTTTCCAAAGCGTAATGGAAAACACACTACGAGGTATACCAGGGGTTTGCCCCTACTTTGATGATGTCTTGATTGCAGGAGACTCCACACACATTCTAGCTGAAAGGCTAAGGGCTGTTCTGTTAAGATTCAGGAAAACAGGCCTCAAGCTCAAAAAAGACAAATGCAAGATTGGGGTGCCTTCTACTGAATTTCTGGGGTTCAAAATTGATGCTGCTGGGATTCACCCTGCTGAATCCAAACTAACTGCTATTTTAGAAGCACCTAGGCCAAAGTCTAAGGCCGAACTTCAGGCCTTCCTGGGCCTCCTGAATTTCTACAATTCCTTCCTTCCACATAAAGCCAGTGTGGCTGAGCCTCTTCACAGGCTACTAGACAAGCAAGCAGTGTGGCACTGGTCACAAACGCATGAGGCTTGTTTTAACAAAGTCAAGGCCTTGCTCACTTATAACAGTGTACTTGCACATTTCAACGAGTCCCTTCCTGTGTGCATCGCTTGTGATGCGTCCCCTTACGGGGTAGGAGCTGTCCTGAGCCACCTCAGGTCTGATGGAACTCAGGTTCCTGTTGCATATTACTCCAGAACATTGTCTTCTGCTGAGCGCAACTACGCTCAGATAGACAGGGAGGCTCTGGCTGTTGTTGCTGGAATTAAAAAATTCCATGATTTTCTATATGGCAGGCATTTCACGGTCTTCACTGACCATAAGCCTCTGCTGGGACTGTTTACCACACGTAAGCAGACTCCCCAAATCATTTCCCCTAGAATGCTTAGGTGGTCTATTTTTTTGTCTGCATATGATTTTTCTTTACTCCACAAGCCTGGGAAAGAAATGGGCCATGCTGATGGCCTCAGTAGATTGCCTCTGCCAGTAGTAGAAGCTGACCCTGCACCAGCTGTCACCATTCTATCAATCCAAGCCTTGCCCGAGCTCCCTCTTAGTGCCAGGGATGTTGCCGCTGAAACAGGTACAGATCACACACTTTCACGTGTCCGTTCCTGGGTTTTGTCTGGTTGGCCTGAGCACTGCCCTAGTCCTGAGTTTCAGAGTTTCTGGTCCAAAAGGAACGAGCTGTCCCCTTCTCAGGGTTGTCTGCTTTGGGGAAACAGAGTTGTCATTCCCACCTTAATGAGGACTAGGGTCTTAGAATCCCTCCACGAGGGTCATCCTGGCATTGTTCGTATGAAGGCTCTTGCGCGCAGCTACTTGTGGTGGCCTGGTTTAGATAAAGATATTGAGGCTAAGGTGCATGCATGCCACCTGTGCCAATGATCTCGCCCAGAGATGCCCCAAGCTCCCGTGCATAGATGGGAGGAAACACAGTCCCCATGGTCTAGGGTGCACATTGACTACGCTGGGCCCTTTCAGGGCTAGTTCTTCTTGGTCCTTGTTGACAGCCATTTAAAATGGCTTGAGGTTATACCTGTCTCATCCACCACCACTGCAAAGACTATTCAGGTACTGAGGGGGATTTTTGCTGCACACGGGCTTCCAGATGTCATTGTGTCTGACAATGGCCCTCAATTCACTTCCTCCGAATTCCAAGCTTTCTTACAGGCTAACATGATTCGTCATGCCACGTCTGCACCCTTCCACCCGTCCACCAACAGGTATGGCTGAACGTATGGTGCGCATCACAAAGGACGCCTTGAAAAGACTCACCTACGGGGACTGGCATCACAGGTTGGCTGACTTTCTCCTTTCTTATCGCACCACACCGTCCACTTCTACAGGGAGAAGCCCAGCTGAACTTCGTTGGGGGCGTCAACTTACTACTAAACTTGACCGGTTGCATCCGGACAGATTGCCTTCATCTACCTCACATCCTAGGGCACCTAGACAACTACTTGAGGGTGCCCCGGTCTGGACTCGCAATTATGAGCCTGGTCATACATGGGTCCCCGCATCTATTTCCAGGGTCACGGGTCCTCTATCCTACGAGGTAGCCCTGGACAACGGTCGTGTCCTGCACAGGCACATCGACCAACTCCGCCCTAGGCGGCATCTTCCAGCTGAGACTCCTGGGTCTTTTCCAGGGGGGGAGGGGGACCCTTTGGAGCAAAGGGAAGGGCACGAGTTGCTGCCCATCTCCACTGATGGAGCCACTGACGGCCCATTTCAAGCTTCCGCAAGTGCTCCAAAAAGGAATTCATGGAGCTTACCCACACAACAGGCACTCACGCCTACTCCAGCCAGGGAGTCACCCCGGGGGCATACTCACTTTCCACACACATCACACAACACTCCAGTCATGGAGGATACCCGGGAGCATCCCAACAAATCATTCCCCGCAAGAGAGCTGGCACACAATCCCCAGAGTTGGCCTGACCTTACCCCTAATCCTACAGGGGGTCAAACTTACAGGGAGGTGGTCGAGGAACCAAGTCCCGACCGCAACACCTCTAGCCCAAATCAGGGAGTAACCGAGTTTTGGGAAGGTACAGAGACCCACACGAGCCCGGACACAGAACAGGGCTTAGGGATTGGACAGCCTCCTGACAGGTCTTGGACGGACCTAGGAGGTTCTATAGAGACGCCCAGCAGTGGCTATCACTTCAAGGGGCCCGAGGGCCTACAGCTAGGCAGGTCAACCAGGTCACGAAGTGACAGAAGCCCTGGCCTGACGAGCCCGGTGGGCGAGCAAGCAGGCCAGGCATCGGGGCAAAGTCCTTGGAAGGCACCAAGGCATGATAAGGGGAACAGGCTCTTGTCACCCCTCAGTCAGGGAACACCTGTCAGAAACCCAGAGCTGAGAAGGTCACAGAGAGCAAGGAAGTCTCCTAAATACTTAGAGGATTACATAACATTGCTGGCTAAACAAAAGCCAGGTAACGATAGGAGCACTGAGAATCAGAACACTGCATAAATTAAATGATTATATGTTGGTAGTAGTTTTAGCCCGGGGGAAAGGGGTGTTATGTCCCGAGCCTTGCAAACGGCTCGGCGCGTTTGCAGGCAGTCCCGGGCAGGTGCAAAGCTGCCCAGGACCAGACAGGCTGTCGCCAGCACCGTGCGCATGCGCGGGTGCTGGCGCGGGAAAAGTATCGCATTGACCCGGGAAATGCCTATATAAGAAGCTGGGAGGTTTTGGGAGCTGCTGAAGCCATCTACTTGTGAGCTGAACACAGAATAAAAAAAACTGAGAACTACAACTGCTTCTCGTGTCTGCTTTTCGCCAAGGACTCAACACATTTCATTCCCCAAAAACAGTCTGAACCCACTTGGTAATCATCTTCATTGACTTTGACCTTTTAATACTGAGAATATCATAAGCCAACCAATGTCCTCTCCAAGTGACCAATCAAAGACTGGAATCCAACCAGTGCCCTGGGCTCCTCTTTACATTTTTTAATTTCATGATGTATGCCTTTGTGTGGGGATCTCAGAAAACTGGAGTTGTGCTGAAGAGGGACTGCGAATTTAGGTATATCACTTTCTGATGGTCAATTACATTTGTCACTATATTTAAAAAGCAGTCATGATTTGGTTGTATTTGTTTTTGATAACCTCTGGTTGAAACAATTCAGAATGGGTGAAATCCTTTTATCTCAAGTGGCTGATGAGTCTAAACTGCAATGCTAAGCTAGTCTTTGATTGATGGAATGGTCTAGCCCAGCCCAGTCTGGACCTCAAGAATGAAGTCTTAAAAAAGGGCTAAGAAGCCCATGGACCTTTACCAGATCCAAGACTGACTGCATTCAGCCAGGGTAAATAAACTTGGCTTTCGAGGTGAAGGATCAAGATATATATTTTTAATTACTGGACTATGTGCACATTATAAAACCATTACAGAACCAAAGCATATAACATTCCAAATTAGAAAAAGGCAGTTGATACAAAGGGGTAATAAAATAAATAATACATTAACTAGCTTCATTGTTCTATGTTCATAGACACTAATAGAGCCATATACATCAGAGGCTATAAAATGCATACATTAGAAAAGAGAATGTTGTGGTTAAAGAGGCCGTGTCTTGTTTCTTCCTGGATCGTGAAGGTCAATTAACACGAAGGCATGAGGCTATGCTTGCCGTTTAAATTCTTGCTAACTGTGAAAGAGAAATGTAAACCTCAGAGATCAGGAAGGCAGGGGAAAAACCCAAACACTTCATTTCACATGAAGACGTTTAATGTGCAGCCAACTGTACAACTATCATTGAATAGAGAAAAAAAGAACCTGCAAGTGTAATTTTTTTGCCCCTAAAATGAAGATATTAGAAAAGGGACATGGTTCCTACATTTTTTTGATAGGTGGTAAGAGAGTTTTAAGAGATCCACTACATACAGTATATTGAGTATATGTGCTGTCTTGCTAAAAAAAAATAATACTTTCTCATTTATGGATTCTTTAATGTCCAAGCATTGGTCAAAGATATATCTCATATAACAAAAAACCTTCCCTTTTTTCAGCCTAGGGCCGTGGTGGGGAACCTATGGCACATGTGCCACAGGTGGCATGAAGAGCCCTCTTTGCCTTCAGCTGGTTTTTATAAAACCTTTTGCTTTAGTCTCCACCGCTGTGTGCAAAAAAAAAAAGTTTCAATCAATCAGTTTCAACTTCTCACAAGGAAAAAAAAGTTCTTGCAAAGTTGGAATTGATTGATTGAGCTTTTTAGTCCCACCCAGTCTGCTGTTACCATCGTGGCCACGCCCACCCAATGGGCCATGCCCATCCGGCACCTGACGATACATAAGTGGGTTTTGGATTGCAGTTTGGGCACTCGGTCTCTAAAAGTTTCGCCATCACTGGCCTAGGGATAATTACCTAAGCTTGGATCTAGCACTCCATTCATATCTCCTATGATTATTATTTCCTCCTTTGCAAATGCTTTAAACATCTGGAAGAACCTTTTATAGAACTGTTCCTTAGTTGTGCTTTGGCAAGGATGGATGCCAGTGTTAAAATCTTGCCCTCTTTTCTTAATTTCAGAATTACAATTCTTCTTTTTTGTCTTTTGATTGTTGTAGTATTTCTCAAGAAGTTGATTTAGAAAAGATTGCTATTCCATTTTATCTGATACTATACATTCTGAGGGTGAAGGTTCATTCTCCAGGCTTGTGGGTTGGTTTCTGAATGTTTCATTACCAGGCTAGGTAAGAGCTTAGGGGATGTCAGTGTCCGTGTTCTTCTGCTAATAAAGGCTTTGTGTGGTGAGTAGGTCTTGTGATGGCAGATCACATCAGGTGAGGGTCACATGAGGTGAGGTCTTGTGATGGGTCTTGTGATGAGTCAGGTGGGGGTTACATCAAATCGGTCTTGTGATGGGAAGGTCATGTCAGGTTAGGGTCACTGGGAGCTGAAGTGCTGGCTGGGGGGGCTCGTGTAGGTTGGTTGAGGGTTGGTGCCATCACTGGCTGATTGTGCGGTTGATTTGAATTCTGAGGGATTCGTAGGCTGGTTGTAGGTCGATGTGTCTGTTGTTGGAGTTGCTTATGGAGTGCCAGGCTTCGATGAACTCACAAGTGTGGCGGGTGATAGCATGGCCAATGATTGTAGTATTGCTCCAATCAAATTGAAGCTGTTTGATGTCAGAGTGGGTAGAGATTAGGATTTGGGATCATAGAGTTTTACTGCCAGCTGGTGTTCATATATTCTGGTTTTTAATTGACGTGAAATTTGTCCCAGGTAGAATTGGTTGCAATTGTTACAGTTAATTTTATATAAAATATTTTTTTGTATAATTTTTGTATAAATAAAAACGGCTGCTGCTTTCTTCCTATGTTTTGTTCTAGAAGCTCCATGCTATAAATACTATTTTAGCATCAACAGAAAAGATGTATTACAATGCACCTAAGTTCCCATGAAGCTTTATTGAAATATTCAAGTAAATCAAAAAGAATTTAGGATCTTGATAGCTGCCATTAATGATCAACCTTTGCAACATAATGTAAAAGTCAAGATCTGCTGTACCCAAGTAGCCATTTTGTGTACAGAGGGTATATGAGAAATTCAACTCATCTCCATCAATGGCAATTTATTTTCTAACAATCCTCAGTTTGACATTAATTTCCCCCCCTCTTTATCAAATTGCAACTGTGCTAAACTAATTAGTTTCCAATCGTCCTAGATGTTCCACTCACCCGCGCTCTGGTTTCATTTAGTTTATTGTGAATTTGTATGCATGAAACGTAATTAAAGTGTTTTGTTAATGTGGGTGACCCTAAATGGACAAATTCAAATTGGAAGGGGAGAGACATGGTGAGAAAAAAACAACTCTATAAATTTAGGAAATGGGCTAATAAACTAGAAATATATCATTTTTGTCTACACCTGGCATAACAATGGGGAATAATACTTAACTGCTATTATTTCTTGCGGAGTTTGAGATGGGGAAAAAACCCTAAGTAGCTTAAAAAAATCAAGTAATAAACAACTACATGCAGAACCTTTTCAAGAAGTGTTATCAGCATGCAACATAGGAAATAAAAGAAGCATCATTTTGCTGCATGACATTGATAGGTTTATGTGTTTTCATAATGGCTAGAAAAAATGTAAAAGTCAATTTTAACCCAGGGTTATAATCTTCTTAGTTTTGTACCTACTGCTAACTGTTCTAAACTTTGTTGCAACTAAAATAAATTATACAACAACCATCTCAGTAGGAGAAGATCCCTTCTGCCCTAAAATAACAATCACTTATCATTAGAATGATCTTAGATGGTTGTGCTATCTTCTCCAGATTTTACCACCAATCAAGAAAGAAGCACAAATTTTCCACAATGTCTATAAATCTATACATGGCATTAATCTATTAGGCATTTAGTCCTAAAATGAAGAAAACTCAGAACTAATTTATAATCTGGGATTGCAAATTACAAAGAATATTGGAAGACCTGCATTGAATTCCCTTTCTCCATTACTAATTCTATATCCAAATATGCACTGCCTATCCTATCAATAATATGCAGAGAGGAAAGGAAACTGCCCTATTTGATTCTATTAGGAAAAAAAAACCCACATATTTTTGCAGATTTTCTCAACTTTGCTACTGGTGAAAGAATGTGAATGATCATTGCAATGACATCTAATACATAATACAAGAAATCAGATTTAAACATGATGAAGAGAATTCAGGAAAGGGCCACATTTCATTAAGAGCACTATTATATGGACTATGGTATTGTCCCATTCTGGAACCAAGTCAAGGATCACAGAGGGAACACAAGTAGCTCAAGGCAGAAGTCTTGCAATAAAGACAGCTGAAGATAAAAGAAAGATCAGAGGCCTTTGGAGAAGACAACTGCAGGAAATAGGAAGCTATTAGCTCATAGCAGAAGAACATGCATATGAAGAACAGTTGCAGAAATTGCGTATGGCCAGTATAGAGAAAAGAAGGACTAAGGTGACATGATAGCAGTATTCTAGTATTTGAGGGGCTGCCACAAAGATGAGGGGATCAACTTATTTCCCAAAGCACCAGTTCTCCAATTTAGAACATAGATGGTTTATCTTTTTGTGACTGTAGGACTGTATTGAATATTGATTCAGTAGGGAGGAGGCAAAAAAGTGCTGTGGGTAGGGTAAATAATGGGATATTCTATCTTTCCCATAACTTTTAGAGCACTTTATTTAAAATTGTGAATTGTATTTTAAGGTAAACATTGTATTTCCTGCCTCAAAATGATGGAGGATCTAACTGGACTACTAAAAATGTCTCATCACCTAACTTTTCAGGTTTTAGACCCGAACGTTAAGGAGCTGGCAGTTCTATGCAACAAGGAATGTGGTAAATATGCACTGTTTTGAAATCCTGAAAAAATTTGGGCAGGATTGCTGGAGATGAAAATCCTATTATGGAAACATCTTCAGAAAATATCTACCTAATGAAGTTCAGATATTTAAATTTCAATGTTCCATGCTGTGTGAATAGAAATGAAACGAAAATGTCCTATGCCTCTAACATCTCATTCCAAGTGTCTATGGAGATTCTCAGTCATCCAGGTCATGGTTGTCCCAAAGGTGCTTTTCCAAAAGGCAACTGGATTTTCTTTGTTTTTCCTTGAAGATGTTTCAGTTCTCATCTAAGAAGCTAGTTCGGTTCAGAACTTGGACAAGAAGTTTCTTGGATGAGAATCAAAATGTCTTCAAGGAAAAACAAAGAAAGTTCAGTTGTCTTTTGAAA